GGTTTTCCAGAAATGCTTTATATAATCAAGTCAGCAGGATAATGGATACTCTGATATAAAATGTGCAATATTTTGTAAGGTCAAATGACCATATGCATAGGTTCAGTTGTAGAGCTGGCACAAAAAGAAATTTATATTTCAGCAATCTACCAAGAAGCTCTAAAACTGCTGGCAAAATAAAGTTAAAAATATGGCGTGTAACGAATTCAAATCATTTTAACCTAGCATTGCGAATGCTTTTCAATCAGTGTTGTTTGTATAAATATCAAATTTTCCAGCGACTTTGATCCCATTTAAAAATTTGATCAAGTCCTTAACTGGCCGATGCTCCTTTCACCGGCCTCCATATTTTCCAAATTAGCTTTTATTGAACCTGTAAATTGTGTCGGCTGATTTCTTGCCGAATGACAGCCAGCCGACATTGGATATCTCTAAATCGGATTCGTTCATTTTACCCACAATGCCACACATAATAGGTCGCAATTGAAAGGGAATCGGTAGCAATGAATGCAGTATCGCTTTAATGACAGCGCATTCTCTGTTTCCTAATTGATAATAATGGACTGGATAGATGGGCAGGGTATGATGGCGGCGATACTGTCATTTCAACTGTCACCCATTGTTTCTGAGCGTGTTCCGTTTTATCTCTTGATTCTGGGAACCCGATTTTTCCGCTGACCCACAATTTCTTAATGGGTCTTCCACAGGTTAGCATCCAGGATGAGAGAGATCACTGGCCTATAGCTCAAAGATACTGTGTTTCATAAATTTTACCATGGCCAAACAACACATAAATTATAGTATATTGTATTTTATTAAAAAAACCACTTTTATTATATTCGGTTCTTCTAACATAAAAATTAAGGTCTAAAATCGCAGAAGAAATTCCTCGGTGGATGTAGTTTAAAAAAAATCAAATATGGCAGGAATAGTTAACTAAAAAAAATTCCTTTTGAAAATTAAAAAAAAATCATTCATCTTAAATTTTCAACCATAAATACTTTGTTCACAAGATACATGTAAGCCTATATATCGCATTAAATAATGTCTTTAATTTTAAAATGGGAAAAGGGGATTTAAAAAATAAAAGTCTGATGTAAGATCGAATCGAATCAAGTGACCTCTTTAATTTGTGCAAGTAAAATATTTAGATGTTAATTAATAATTTTTAGTTAATATGAACTAACGAAGAAAATAATCTTGTAGAAAATAAAAAGGAAAAAAAATAGACGACTGAATTTTTAAGAAAAAAGTTTCTCATTAAACAATGTTATTATATCTTACCAAAAATGAACTCACTTAATATGTTAACTGACATTTTTGAAAACAGTAAAAAAGATAATTATAGAAATAAAATCCCGGAGAAACTATCAGTGATATTAACTTTTCACATGTCAAAGTAAAAATAAATGAAATATCCGTCAAAACAATAAATTATTTCCAAAAATAAAGACAGTAAGTAACAGAGAAAACCATGAGACGAGAAGAGGGGTCCTTGATTTCTGGAGGACATGAATTATGATATCTATTATTCCTATTAGAGAATCACGGGGCACGTCATTACAGCAGATCCGTCGATTCTACATCTACATAAAAATAAATTAGTAGAGCTGTCACCCTAGACCAGAACTGGTCGTGTTAATCCGGGGATTTTCCGTCTGTGTCCTGAGGTTGACCAGTTAGGGACAAATAATCTTGTTTGCACATGACTTAGTAGCGACGTGCATGATTGTCAGTGATTTACAGGAGTTCGCAGGTGATCAAAAACACCCTTCAGGTCATTTCTCCAGCGAAGGGAGAGGTATAAATCAATTACACGTGTAAATCATATTTAAAACATTTTACATTTTCTTTTTCTAATGTTTCTTTTGCAGATAAATCAGAAACTTAGCCACTTCTGTTTCCTCCGCTTTCACGTGGCAGCGTTTTTACAAGGAATTTGTCAACGAATTATTCCCGCGAGCGACAAAACCACTTTCTTCGCTTCCTTAGACCGATTTCTCTTTCATTCGAATGTTGAACATGGTCTGAGAGGCTGTAATTCTCTAATATCTGTGAAGAAAAAGAGTAAAAATATTTGCAAAAGCAAGTGAGCCTTTAAACTGTTGTTATTATAAACACTTCATCATTATCTATTTATCAACTGAGACTTTCTACTCCCGACAATTGCCCAGACGAATTCGAGGTTCCCTAAGCCAGCAATGCTGACACTATAGATTATATGGATGTTAATTATCATGAAATGAGAAATATTAATATTTCTTCAAGAATCCACTTGAATGAATGAAGAAGATTTTTGGGGACCGGCCTAGTTTATTCACAGCTGTTGAGGACATCGATTTCAAAACAACGTTCTGGTATCCAGACCCCCAGGGTGAGCTGCACACTTAAAGAGCGCAGCAATCTCGGTAGGGGTTTATTCTTAAACTTCTGCAAAAACAAATCTATGTTCAGACGCAATAAGCGCGTCTATGTTGGTCTTTGTCATTAGGTCCCATTC